TTTCATCCAGGAGAGCCTGGAGCTGCTCAGCCACCACACGTTCCAACACCTTGCCCAGAAAAGGGAGGTTCGCTACTGGTTGGAAGTTGATCAGTAGACCTGGGTCCAGATTAGTTTTTTTTAGGAATGGGTGAATTACTGCCTCCTTTAACGGGGTGGGGACCACTCCCTCTCTTAACGAGGAGTTGATAACCTCCAGGATCCAGGTGCAAACTCCCCTGGCAGATTCCTTTATTAGCCATTATGGGCAAGGGCTGAGTTGCATGATCCAAGCACCCTGTCCACGTCCTCAGATTGTAACAACTGAAACTCATCCAATAAATTATGACATAAGTCCGGAGCACTGGACACAACCATAGGCTCAGCATCAACAGTGAAGTCCAACTCTTTGCGAATCTGAGCAGTTTTCCCCTCAAAGTGTGTAACAAATTCATTACAGTGAGCCACTGAGCAGTCCAGGACCTTCACTGAAGCATTAGGCTGAAGAAGGTCCCGGACCACTGAACATAGCTCAGATGGATGACACGCCGAGGAAGCAATACGACTGGAGAAATGCTGGAGTTTCGCCAGTCGTATCGCCACAGAGTAGGCCCAATAACGGGGCTCTAAGCTGCGTTTGGTCATAGTCCCAGGGATATTTCCTCCATCTGCGCTCAAGCCATCTCCCCAAATGTTTCATAGCCAAAAGCTCCTCTGTGTACCATGGAGCCATATAGGCTCTGTGGGCAGGGAGAGAGTGCCTAGGTGCGATTGTGTCAACCGCCCGGGCCATCTCCTTGTACCACAAAGCAACCTGGGCTTTGACAGGAGTGCCAATCATATCAACTGGAAACTCTCCTAGAGCATTCAGGAATCCTTCAGGATACATAAGTCTCCGGATGTGGATCATTTTAATTGATCCCCCACCCCAGCAGAGGGTAATAGTGGCAGAGAGTCTAAACTTTACTAGGAAATGGTCGGACCATGACAATGGGGTCAAAGATAAACCCACCACATCTGGACCACCATCCCCCCATCCTGTTGAGAATACTAGGTCAAGTGTATAGCCTTTCTCATGAGTCGGGCTGATGACATATTGAGACAGCCCCATGATTGTCATGGCGGCCATGAAATCCTGAGCTGCCCCTGTTAAGGTGGCCTTGGCATGGAGGTTGAGGTCCCCCAGTACCAAAAGTCTGGGGGTCCTCTCCACCAGGTACGAGATCACCTCCATCAGCTCAGGTAGGGAGACTGTTGGTAAGCAGCAAGGTGGGCGGTACACAGACAGAATCCCCAATCTGTCTCTTGAGCCCAACACACAATACAGGCCCTCTAGACCATTTCTCAAGGGGACAGGGAGTCTGGAAAAGTGGAAGGAATCCTTGTAGACCCTTCCCCAATCCTCAGGGCGACCCTGGTGTTGGACCAAGTACCCAGGGGGACATAGAGGAACTCCTTCTCCGACTCAGGTCTCAGTAATGCATGCCAGGTCAGCCCGCTCTTCCAACATTTAATCATGAATGAGGGTGGTCTTATTTTTTGCTGACCTAGCATTTACTAACAATACCATGTGGCCCGGGGGGGGGGCCTGATACGATCACCTAGTACCGTTTGGCTGGGAGTAGAGCTAGAAAGGGGAATAGGTGTAAGGTATCTAACCTCCTTTCACCTATGCGGGCATGGTCTACTCCCACCACCATATCTTCCTCTGCCATATATTGTCTCTATTGGTTGCCCCAGAGGCCCCTCAACCCCCCTGTTTCCCAGCTGATTCCTCAGCCAGTTCCCTCAGGGAATCTGGCAGCAGTGCAGCCACAGTCTCACTGTCTCTCACACAGTGACATGTAGAAGGCATATGTTATTCGGCTCCCCTGAGCACAGGAATGCTAGTCCGGTCGGGCCCTGAAAGCAGGTCTGGCTTAAAAGCCTCTTCTCCCCTTGAGCCAGGTTTGACTGATGGTGGGAAGGGGGTGGGGCAGCCAGGAGTAGCCGGGCTCAATCCTACAAAGCAGAGGGAGATTGAGCCAGGCTCCCTTGGAAAAAGCTGACAGCAGCCCAGCCACAGTCCCACTGTCTCTCACACAGTGTCCTGTAGCAGGCATACAGTGACCTGTAGCAGGCAGATGGTCTTCGGCTCCCCTGAGCACATGAATGCTGGTCCTATGAAGTCACAAAGTAAATTGTTATGTCAGAAATACGTTGGACAGGTCAAATGAGACAGTAGTTGAGAGAAGGGATTTAGCTGGGTCATTAAGAAACTCTTAATTTAATATGTCAATTTTTTAAATAATATGATTTCCATATCTTTTTGTACTAAACTGCTATAATACTTTTGCTTTGACATGTCCAGAATCTAGCTGTTTCTATCCAGGGAACTCTGAAAACATGAAAAAACATGTTTTGCTTCAGGATAATGCTCAGAGTTGCTATAGTAAGATGCACACACTCATTGATTCTCTTGTAATGGTAGTACTTTTGGCCTTAAAAATAGCCAGGAAGCTAGTACTGTATATTAATATTTTGTAAATGTTCTTCAGAAAGTATACTTCTGCATGGACATGGAAACTTGTTGAATGCTTGTTAATGCTGCTCTTAAAACTCTAAAAGGGTCAGTTCAGGTAATGACAGTGAGAAGCTATTGTTTGGACACATGTTTATTTCCATGTTCACTCTGTGCCAAGTTTCCTTGTACCTCTTTGCAATTCTTTGAGAATTAGTCAACCAGAACCTATTGCCACATTTATCATTGTTGCCATTAGGTCCCTGCCGTTAAATTACAGTATATACAGGCCTGCACACAAACAGCCCACCCTCCAGCACTGGGCTTGCAGATATACCAGTGAGCTATAAACTCTTGCTAAACAGTGCAGCTGTGCTTTAAGTAAAGCATGTATTTTGATAACTGGATGCTGCATCTGTTTATATACTTGGGATATGTGAGAAAATATAGTTGGCAGTCTTACTATTTTGCTTGCAGATGAGTCGTTTCCTTTGTATATTAATGCATATTCAGCCTCCTAAAACTAATATGAAATGCACTTGGCTTTTTTCAGGTGGAAATAAGGATAACATCAGGGCTGGATGCAAGAAATGTGGCTATCGTAAGTATTTATCTACAGAGATGAAGACATGATTGAACATTACATGAGTTTCATGTTTTCTTAGTGAAATAGAAGTGAAGATTTTGTTTTCTCACCTGTGAACCAGTAAAGGATAACTATTGAATCATTTGCATTGTGGTTGGCATTCTTCGGCTATTATTTTCTTGTTCAATGTTGTTTAGCGGGTCATCTAACATTTGAATGCCGAAACTTTCTCCGGGTGGATCCAAAAAGAGACATTGTTTTGGATGTCAGCAGCACAAGTAGTGAAGACAGTGAGGAAGAGGAACTGGGAAAGCTGCAAACCGCTCCTGAAAAAAAGAGTGAGTCCTGCGTCTCTCATCCTTCTCTTTTTACCGTAGTTTCTTTGTCCATGTGTACTAGGCCTCATCTATGTTGGTTTCATCTTACAAAGTTAGCTTTGTAAATCAGTTACAGTTATAGTTCCAATATGCCCTAAAATATAGCTACTATTGTAGTTTTTTAAAAGTTTTTCTCAACAGTAACTAAATTTAGTGACATTTCCAGTTTAAAAAGTCACCAGTCTCAAAGTTTCCTATTCAGCAACATGGGATACATCACAAGCTAGCCATGTGCTCTTCCTCCTCCATTGTCTAGTGAAGTGATGCTCTTACCAGTGTAAAAACACAAGAAATCTGCAGTTACATTAGAAAAGATGATGTGATCGTGTTATATCTTAGTGGAAAACAAGATTAACTTCAAGAAAACATTTATTAGTTTTTTACTTATTGGTTTCACATTTGAGTGTTAGCAATGGTCTTTTTGAAATTTACACTGAGGGATTCTTCCCGACAGTGATGCTTATCAAAATGTATTGGACAATACCCTCTTGGCTTCAAAGGACATGCAACTGGCAGTTTTTCCTTATTCCCGATGCCTATCACATGCCATATTATGCAACTGAATATGCAGCAAGGCACCCAACGCTAACCTGGAAAACGGAAAAAGCGGCTTGCACAGTTGCTATTCCATGCACTCTAAATTTTAAAAAAGAATAATGTGCCAAACAGTACCAAATTCAGGGGATTCAGTAACATTTTGCTGTTGTTGTAAGATGTTACCATTTCAATTTACAGGTACTGCAGAGGAAGAAGAAAAGAAAAAAACAAGGAAGAAAAGCAAAGAAAAAAAATTTAAAAAAGCAAGGAAAAGGTAATTTGGGGGAAGACTTTGTCTCAGAACTTCTGAATGCAAAATGGGCAGATGGAGTAGCTTAAAAAGCATTGGCAGGAACCCTCTTCTGTCTTACTTCTTGGACAACAATCTGATGTTTAAGTGGTTGCTCTTTTAAAACAAAAAACAAAAAACTTTCTGGCACTCCAAAAGCCAAAAAGAACCCTTAAAAACTAGTCCAAGAATGCAGAGGCAAGGCAACAGAAAACCAATCTACTTGAAAAGCAGGCAACAGTAGGCGAGAAAGTAAAGTTATTGTCAGGTTTGTGCAAAAAATGCCTTACTCACCACCAGCCAATTCAAAAAGCACCCCAAAATTTAAAAAGCGACAACTAAATGAGTGCCACCCACCTAGCACAACAAAGACTCTCTAGGCCTGGGCAGCATGACAGAAAAAAAAGGCAAGGAAGCAGCCAACCTGGCACTGGCTGTCTGATCTACAGACTCAAAATTCCTGCTTTCCCTCTCCTGCATGTTCTGTTTGGCTTGTGCCAGAGCTATTGGATGACAAATTTCTCAAGCAATTTGACAGACAAAGGACGAAAGAAAGAGAGGAAAGAGAGGAACATGGAACTCAATGGGACACAAAATTTCCATGCCCTTCTCTTTTGTAAAGACAAATCATTCATATGTAAGAGGCTGTCTTTCAGCAGTTGACTAACACTAGCTACATGAAGGGTCTCCTCTTAAAACCTGAAAGGAAAGTCTCTGGAATTAGCTATTAGTATACACAAGGATACATACATAAGGACTGGAGGTAAAGTATTTAACCAAGCTAATTCCTTTTAACAAAATATCCATCTTTAACTTTTTTAACTGGTCAGAGCACTATTTGAATCATTAAGTAAGTTGATCTTCTTGTGTTTCACAGATCTTATTCCTCCAGTTCCACAGATGAAGATGAGCCTAAACCCAAAAAACAGAAATCCCATAAGAGGGAGAAAAAGAAAGAGAAAAAGAGTAAATCCAAGAAAAGGAAACATCACCACAAAAAGGGGAAAAAGAAGAGGAAGAAGGGGAAAGATTCTTCATCTTCTGATAGTTCAGACTCTTCTAGCAGTGACTAAGAACCAAATCTAGGATGCCATAGACCCATTCATATCAGAATTACAATGCCATACTGTTGAATATATATTTTTACTGAAAAAACCCCATTATTTATAAATATCTCCTTATATTCAGCTAAACATTTATTTTAGAGAGATTTTTTTTCTTCTTAGAATTTTTAGTTTCATTTTACATCCATTTTACAGTCCTTTAATATCTGCTTTAAAATCTGGCTTCCATGTATGAGCAAAACCCAACAAAAACAAAAAAAAACCCAGCTACACTAAGGCTGCAGTTTTGTGGTCCTGAGCTCTCTGCTGTACCAGAGGGACAAAGGGAAGATTGGTGCCAGAAGAGGATTTGTACCCATAAGGTCTTGTGATGTGACCCAGGATGCATGCACGGGATGAGGACTGTGCCACCCCTACAGCTGGTATTAGTGTAATCAGTGGGAGGGAAACAATAATGGGGGGGGGGGAACCCTGCAACATGGAAAGGTGAAAAGTGTACCAACACCACCTTCTGCCCTGCATGTGTACGTCCAGGAAAATGATTTCCCCGGTTTGGAGTCTCCCCCTCCCAATGTTGAAGATTGTCCTTCTTGGCTGGGAAATTCTCAGTAGGTATTGAAGCTTCTGCTGTTGCCTACAAACATTTTCATATATTATAATCCATCCAGGCACATCATAATAGCCCACATGCTCAGTCATCGATAAAATAGGATGGGGTGCACAAGGCATGTCATTTTTCAGTGGCAAGCAGTTTAAAAATGGACCCTTTGTGTTATATGGGGAAAAAAGGAAAAAGTTAAAAGCCTTTGTAATAAATAGTTGGCTGTGTTTACTCCAACCTTGGGATAGATGTTTCAAATCAGTCCTATTTTGTTTATGTATAAAATTGGGAATTACCCACAAAGGAATGGGATTATATATGGACAACAGAAATGGTGGACATTTCTAAGATTTATCATACATGTTTCATCTTGCAGTTAGATCCTTATACAGAGAGTTGTATGCAAAGGTGTTGATCTGTAATGTTAATATTCTATCTCCAATACTGTTTTTCGCCCTGGCAATGATGTTCGTACAAACAATAAGAAAATGAGATTTATATTTTGTGGGACCAAAGAAGTAAAATAAGAGGTTATGTGTCCTTAAGGATATTTTTACCATGTTTGGTTTACTATAACTATTGTACAGGTAAGAATCCATGAATGTCAGTCTTATTACTTCCACAACACTATTTGGACTGAGTGAGCCTTGGGTTTCTTTCAACGCAAGGCTCACATGATTGTATGAAATACTTCCTTTGGGTAGAGATGGGATATGTTTTCTGTAATATAGTTACAATGTTCATTATTTTAAACATTTAAATAGCATCTGTCATTGTGCAGAATTTCAGGGCCGTTTTTGATTGCATTAAGGCTCAACAATGCAATACTGCATGCCAGGAAAGTGAATAAACAAGATAAAAGACAGCAGCTCAGAAACACATTCAAAATGTCTGAGTGAACAAAAACTGCTAGTATTTGCTTAGAGTATAAAGTATGATGACACCAGATGGGCCTGTTGGTTCCAAAAAACCCTCTTGATTATGGACGTAAAACTCACATCATCTCAGATAATAGTACCCCTTAGAGAAAGGCTTCAGTAGATTATCTTAAATCAGAAAAAATCCGATAGCCTTTGTACTCCCTTTACTGAACTCATATTTTTATGGAGATTTGCAACTGTATCCTGGATGATCTTTCACCAGAAACTAAAGTAGCAATCTGTTTTTTCCTGATAAAGTATGGGTTTTTTAAATACTGGGAACATGTCATGTGACTTCAATGTAGTGGCACATTGGAGTCTTCTGGAGTTTATACAGAGATCCTCAAAGACCTTGTACACAAAACGGTATTAAGGGATTTTGGCCCAGCTTCTTTAAAAGACTTAATGTATTTATACATAGTATATTTCAACAACAGAACTTTACCTCTCCCACTTACAATGGTGCAATTCTATCAAGTGAAAAGCATAGTTATGATGCACAATAATTCATTGTTGTGGGAACTCACAACTGCAATGGTATTTCTAGCTTTTCAAATAAATTGACCAGATAGGCGGGATATAAATAGAATAAATAAATAAATAAATATTTTCTTTGACATTTTAACTACCGTATTTTTTGCTCCATAAGACGCACCTCATTTTTAGGGGAGGAAAACAGGAAAAAATATTCTGGCAATTTCGGCCCGCGGGGGTGGAGTGGGGAGCCTTGGAAGGGTCCGAGAGTGCCTGGAAGGATGCCAGTGGGGGTGAAATTGCCAGCTTCCAGGACCCTTCTGAGGCTTTCCAAGCTGGAATTAAGCTTGCCAGAAGAAATATCAACCTCAGAGATGCCACTCTGATGGCAAAAAGTGAGGAGGAATTAACCTCTTAATGAGGGTGAAAGAGGAGAGCGCAAAAAATGGTCTGGAGGTCAACATCAAAAAAACTAAGATTGTGGCCACTGGTCCCTTTCACCTTCTGGCAAATAACAGAGGAGGATATGGAGGCAGTGACAGATTTTGCTTTCTTGAGCTCAATGATCACTGCAGATGGTGACAGCAGCCACGTAATTCAAAGACCCCTGCTTCTTGGGAGGAAAGTGATGACAAACCTCGACAGCATCTTAAAAAGCAGAGACATCACCTTACTGACAAAGGTCCTCATAGTCAAAGCTATGGTTTTTCCAGTAGTGGTGTATGGAAGCGAGAGCTGGACCATAAAGAAAGTTGACCGCCAAAGAATTGATGCTTTTGGGTTGTGCTGCTGGAGGAGGCACTTGAGAGTCCGCCGGACTGCAAGGAGAACAAACCTATCCATTCTAAAGGAAATCAACCTTGAGTGCTCACTGGAAGGACAGATCCTGGAGCTGAGGCTCCAATCCTTTGGCCATCTCATGAGAAGAGAAGACTCCTTGGAAAAGACCTTGATGTTGGGAAAGTGTGAGGGCAAGAGGAGAAGGGGACGACAGAGGATGAGATGGTTGGACAGTGTCATAGAAGCTACCAACATGAATTTGACCCAACTCCGGGAAGCAGTGGAAGACAGGAGGGCCTGGCGTGCTCTGGATACGACTAAACAACAACAACATCAACCTTTATGTTCATGGAGTTGCCCAAGAGAATTCTGGCCGTTGATAACTTTCCATTATAGCTAGTCCCATCAATGTCTATAGCAGTGTAACATGTATTGTAGCTCCTTGCCCTGACAGACTTACAGGTGTAATTGTGAGAGGCAAGAGTAATTTGTCCTTATTCTTGTTTCATATGTTTATCAGCAAACAGAATCAGAGAATTCCAAGTGGAAATCAACAAAAAGGAATATTTTCCTTGAAGGGAGGAAGATCATAGCAAGGTAGTACTAAAAATAAGCAGGTTGCCACTGCTTTCTGTGTTTAAAATGTCACGGAAACTTAGTTCCAAGTACATTTTTTGGTTTACAAAAGAAGCTTTTTCCCCTATAGTATTACAGTATTTCAGCTCCACTTAGTTTAGTTCCCCACCCCATCTGACTAATTTAAAACTTTTTAAAGTGGCTTCCTGCCTTTAAAAAAAGCTTTGTAGTGTTTGCTGAATATGTATGATAACATCTGTTCCCATCTGTGCCCTAACTGCTGAGCTTGGGTTTGTAATGTGCTATCAAGTCAGTACTGACTTATAGTGACCTTAATAGGGGTTTTAAGGTAACGGGGGTATTTAAGGAGTGGTTTTACCAGTTCCAGCACCCAGTGAGTTTCCATGGGAGAACCAGGGAACTGAACCCAGGTCGCCTGAATCCCACGCCATTATTCTATCCACTGTTTCATAAATAGCTCCATTTTGTGAGTGCTGATATTTCCAGAGGCTGCATTCTTTTCAGTTGTCTGTGTATCATTTTGGAAAATTACGAAATTACTACTGCTTGAGATCAGTCAGTTGTAAGAGCTTGGCCCTTTAAAATGGCATTTTAAAAAGTTTTAAAATGAAATTTATTTTTAAAGTATTTTTGAAGCAATAATTAACTACCCAACGTGATAAAATACTTTCTTGGCTAGTTTTTATTCTTCTTCAGACTTTTAATATTGACATTTTTGGATTTAAGTGTTGCCTGCTTTAAGCACTAAGATGGAAAATACTACTGTAAATTCTCAAATAAGAGACTCGTATAGCAATGAGTCATTGTCCTGGGCAATATGATCAGCTGTACGATCAGCTGTTGCAAAGCAGGAGAACTATTAAGCGTTATAGGACAAGTTAGTTTTCTGGGAGGGCCTGTCCTTGCAAGACCGTTGGCTTATAGGCACGCTCACTAAGGTGCAACAGATATGGTATATAGCAGTGACCGATGTACCAGTTCCTAATCAGATGTGACTTGGATCTTAGCTTCTCATTCCCAAGAAGAGCAAATTTGTCTCCAACCCCTCCATGCCCCGATTTAAATACGTAGCTCTTGGCGACTTGGTTTTTCTCAGAGAAAAGGAAGACCTCGTAACTTAGCAGAAAGTCTTTTGAAAAGTGCTTCACAAATGTTGTGAGGATATAGAGACTGTTGTTTTGGTTTAGACCAATTGTCTGTCATCTGTTCCTCCACATCCTCTCTTTTGCTACCTCAAAGCATGAAGAGCTGAGTAACAAATTCAGTGAACTCGAATCAGGAAGGGTTCACCCATGTTGGCAGATTACTGCTCAATAATGCATGTCTTGCTGTGTTTCATGAGTTCTGGATTTAAGCACTAGGCAAGCTCCGTATAGCAAGACTAAGAACAGGTGACCCTCCAAAAGCGGAACTACAGCAAGATTGGGCAACGGGCATGTGATCCACCCACCCCCACCAAAGGGTGGGGAATGCTATCCCTGCCACATGCTGTCAATTGCACTGCTTCCACCCCAAGAATAATTTGCCTATGTGAAAAAAGAAAATATGCATTTTTGCTCCTGGAAGCATCCATGAGTAACAATTAACTTTCAGACAGACAGACAGACATTTGTCAAAACCAGAAATTGGCTTCTCGCTGCTTTCCTATTTTTCCCCTTATCATTTTTCCTATATTTTGTGTGGCCCATTGTGGCTTCCAGGGAGAAAAGTGGCCCTCAGACTAGAGATTTATTGTGTGCAGTTAGCAACATTCTCTAGCACAGATGGGAAGTGTCTCCCGGGGTCTGGAGGACAGAAGGTTTCTCACCCTTCCCACGTAGTTAAGCTTCTGGTTAGCATGTTTTTCTTCAGAAGCAGACATGTTTGAGCATTGCTCAATTATCATTAACCTGTCATTAAAGAAAATATCTTCTGTGATGGCTGTAGCTACCTTTTTAAAATATAGTGTTAAACATTAACAGTATAGTACAGTAAGTTAAAAGTGTTCAGGACAAAGACAAGAACAGCTACTATATAGTTAACAATCAAGATTGGTGAGCTGGATAGCTCAGTGGCTGAGGAGTCAAGAGGTCAGGTTGAGAGTTCAGTTCCCCACTGGGCCTCCTTGACGAGGTTG